GGAGAAAAAAAAAAAAAGGAATGCCTGCTGAAAATATGCTAAAAGATACATACAATTTTGGATGGTTCCAATGTTGCTTAGGTTTTTTTGTGTTTTTTTAGGGGGGTAGGTGCGAGCGCTGCAGCACACAGTTTACAGGATCTTAGATCTGGGACCAGGGATTGAACTGGGCTCCCAGAAGTGCAAGTGCAGAGTCCTAACCATTGGACAGCCAGGGAAGTCCCTGTTGCTTAGTTTCAAAAAGAAGAAAACTGACATCTGGACATGTTATAAAGGAAATTCTCAGAGATAATGGCTAGAGAAGAAGATGGGAAGAATTATATCTTAGTTTAGGAACAGCAATCACTATCTTAACAGAATACTGAGTTCAAAAAGTGACTTTTCAAATGGAAAAAAAAATAAAATTAAAAAATAAATAAATAAAAATTAAAAATTAAAAAAAGTGACTTTTCTAAATTCTAGTAAAGGTTCCCAGTGTTGATTGCCTGGTACTTTGCCATCTGTTGGGAAGAACATTGCCTCAGGTAAGGGCTATAAATAAGCACAAGCAAAAGGTTTCCAAGAGAAGAAAAACATGAGAGAGATTTAACTGAGGACTTCTGGTAAGAAATAGAAATGAGTTAACCAGTAAATTTTCCTCCTCGAATACCTGAATAAATACTGGGAAGGACATTTCCAACTCCCAGGAAAAATTCAGTTTCTAGCTAAATTTTATTTAGCCTGTGTGTGCTAAGTCGCTTTAGTCATGTCTGACTCTTTGTGACCCTATGGACTGTAGCCCTCCAGGCTCCTTTGTCCATGGGGACTTCCCAGGCAAGAATACTGGAGTGGGTTGCCATGCCCTCCTCCAGGGGATCTTCCAAACCCAGGGATCAAATCCAGTCTCCTGGATTGGCAGGTGGGTTCTTTACCACTTGTGCCACCTGGGAAGCCCTTTATTTAGCCTATTAAGCACTAAAAAAAAAAAAAGACTTTAGTGCATTATAGAATAAAACAGATGGGGTCTCTAAAAACGAATATAAAACAGTCATTCTTCTATGAGTTATTAAATAAACTTTACCAAATACTTGTGATTTGAAAAGAAAATGTGATTTTAAAAATGGAGTATAGGAATAAAAGCACAAAACCAAAGACAGAGTCTATAAAATATCTGCAGTGAGAAGGAAGAAGAGACAACTTAAGGTGATTGGCAACTACCAGAAAATTAAGAGACAAGCTTGAATAATAATGTACAAAACTAAAAATATAAAGTATACAAGGAGAGTGGTTAATGATCCCAGAGATCATTAACAAAGAAAAGCGGCGGGATTTGACTGGATTGTTGGTGATCTCTGGGAAGGCAATTTTAATTAAATGATAAAAGCAAAGTAGATACAGTAATCCCTGCTTATTTCTAAGGTACACATTCCAAGACTCCCAATGGATGCCTGAAACTGTGGATAGTACTGAGCTATATATATACTATGTTTTCTCCTATATCATATATATGATAAAATTTATAAATTAGGCACATAAGAGATTGACAACAATAATCAATAATAACTTTTATTACAGCATATTGCTGTAATTGTTTTATTTTATTATTGGTTATTGTCAATCTCTTATGTGCCTAATTTAAAAATAGAACATTACAGCAATATACCATAATAAAAGTTATGTGAATGTGGTTGTTCTCCTTAATCAACTTCAGTTCTGTTGGAAATGTGGCAGTGCTTCTTCACTAGCAGACGCAGCCTCTCCAGTAATTGTTGCATTTTTCAGTACAAAACTGTTCCTGAATCTGTATAACCATCCCTTACTTGCAGTAAATGGCTTGGTGTCATTTAATGGGTTCTCTTGCTGAAGTCTTCGTACAGACTACATCACAAGTGATGGTACAGCACATTACTCAAGTTGTGATAAGACAAAGTGCAAATTCATTTTGACTCAACCCCGAGGAAGGAAATAAAATTAACCCACAGCAGATAGAAATTGTATAGAACAGGGGTTGGGAAGCTAAGCGATGTTTTTGTAAATAAAGTGTCACTGAAACACAATCTCGCCCATTTCTTTATGTTGCCTATGGCTGCTTTCAGGCTACAGTGGCAGACTTCAGTAGTTGTGACAGAGGCTATATGGCCGCAAACCTAAAATATTTACTATCTGGCCTTTTAAGAAACTATCTGTCGACCCTATATAGAATATGCTGTCTTTACTGCCAAACTAGGTTTACACTGGAGCTTCCCTGGCAGCTCAGCTGGTAAAGAATCTGCCTGCAATGCAGGAGACCCTGCTTCAGTTCCTGGGTCAGGAAGATCCTCTGGAGAAGGGATAGGCTACCCACTCCAGTATTAATGGAATTCCCTGGTGGCTCAGATGGTAAAGAATCTGCCTACAATGTGGGAGACCTGGGTTCCATTCCTGGGTTGGAAGATTCCCTAGAGGAGGGCATGGCAATCCACTCCAGCATTCTTGCCTGGAGAACACCATGGACCGAGGAGCCTGGCTGGTTACAGTCCATGGGGTCACAACGAGTTGAACACAACTGAGTGATGAAGCACAGCACAGGTTCACACTGAAACAAAGACTCAAATGGAAAAGAAAAGAAAAGAACTAGCCCATAATCATGATGTCCTATGTGAAGAGTTTCTGGAGTATTTAAAGCTTAACCTGAAGAACTAGGGGACAGGATTAGGAGTTGGTGAACTGAGAAGACACTATTAATATAATAATAATTCCAGGAGTTAGGTGTACTTAAGGAACACCACAGATTACAAAGTATTTGCACATGTCCACATACTCCATAACGTTGCTATTTAAAGGAAATATTTCTAGACTTTTTTTCTCCACTATCATTTTTCCTAAATTCCTATACAGAAGAGCCCTAGAAAATCAAGATGGGAGACGCAGTGAGGATTTTATTCAGAATGAGAGTTTGGCCAAATGATTTCGAGGTTTGGACACGTTTATCTGTATGCATTATTTCAGATTATTAGGTGAGTAGAACTTCAGTTCTATTTCTACTTATGTCATAATGTACCAGTATAACCTGGAACATTAGTTTTGCAGCAGTTTCTTTACTTCCACATCTCCCCTCCCCTAAATGTACAAGGTTTGTTAGAAGTTTTAAACACTTTCTAAGTTTCTCTAGAATTAAAGCGCTAAGCACAACGCCTTATAGAGAAAGCAGCTAATAAACATTTGCTAAAGGTTTGAATGAATGAAAGCGTACATAGCATCGCTGTGCGTCTTTCCATACAAACAAGTTTCCTCACTTCCCCCCACGCCCCCGCCAAGAGTTTGCCACGACAAATTTCCAACCACAGAACATTGTATTTAACTCTTTATTTTAACACGGCGGTCAATCACTGGGAAAGGAAGATAAGACCATGTAAAGTTTATTATTATTATTAAGCAAGGATGACATGACATGAGCGAGCGTGTCCAGCATGCCCTATTTTAAGATCGAAAAATACATTGGTTACACTAATAGCAGGCTCCGGAAGGAGAAAGGAACCCTCCCCCGCCCAACCCCTGCATATTCCAGGCGGTCTTTTGAGATGCCACACCCAAAGCGCCTGAACTCAAAGTATCTCTCTCCTCGCGGCAAGGCAGAGGCAGCGCAGAGCGAAGCATGTCGCCGGCTCCCAGGCGCACCTGGACGGCGTGGGCGACCGCACTTCCACGGCCAGCTGGGGAGTATCCTCCACCAGGAACACCTGCTCAGAGGAGACTCGGGTGGTCACCCCGGGCCCGCGCAGGCCGGGGAGCGTGCGGCCGAGACTTTACCCGGATACAATTCTTCACCAGGACGAGAGATGTGGAGCTGTCACGATCCAGGCCAGCCCGCTTTCAGATCTCTTCCAGAACAGCCACCAGGGCAACTGCGGCTACTGAAGCACAAGCTCAGCGGCGGGTGATCAAAACCCGCGGCTCCCACCAGGCACGCTAGGCGGAGACGAGGGCGCGTGTCAAGCCCTGACAGCCAGGTGAGCAGAAGTAGCGCACCGAAGATTCCGGAAGGCACGGGCTCGGCGCGCGCTCTCGCCAGGCTGGCTGAGCGGCCCCATCGCGCATGCTCCGGGACCGCCTAGACGTCCAGCCTCGAGGAGGAAGAGCTCCGCAGGCTTGGGGTGCGTGGGGTGTAGACGTCGCGAGCGCTGCGGGGCGGTTGGTGACAGCTCAGAGTCCGTGGTGAACTGCGCGTCCTGACTTCGCCGCCCAGGCGTAGCAGAAGTGCACCGAGCATCCAGGTGAATGTCTTAATGACCCATAAAATGTCCTTACCCTTCCCTGTCGGACACTCCAATATTTTGTCTGGTTGCAGCCCTACTCTGCGGAAAGAGCCGGCGGAGTCCCCAGACTACCAGGACCAGACCCGCAGGGGCCGCTGAGACTTGTAGTCCCTGAGATCTGGCCCATCCATTAGTCATCACCTTTGGGAATTGATCAGGCTGAGAGCCATTCCATCATACAGCATTCGAGAGCAGTGCTTGATTTGTTTCAAATCCAGGTTGGTATTATTGGGTCCCTACCGTGTGCTGAATGCTTTGCTAGGATTGGTGGAGGGCAGATGAGTTCAGTGCCCAACTCGCGTCCTCACTTTAGAGCAGGCAGAAAGTGAGCTTGCAGGGTAGGCTGTAATGAACAAAAAATACGTTATTATCAGTGCTGCTGCTAAGTCGCGGCAGTCGTGTCCGACTCTGCGAACCCATAGACAGCAGCCCACCAGCCTAGTGGAGATCATAAAAGGACCAGAGTCAGGGGGGAAAAAAATCCTGGAAGATGTGAGGTTTGAATGAGGCTTTGAAACGTGGAATGCTCTAGATTAAGGGAAAGCTGGAAAAATCAAACAATGGAAATGCCAGGGAATATAAAGAAGAGTTTGGTCTGAGTATAGCTGAAGGTTTATTTTGAAGAGTGGTGAGCAGGGCTTAAAGTGGGGAAGTGGACAGAAGCTTTCTTGGCCTCACTTAGAGAAAGGTGCTCCGTTTTGAGTTTCTCTCCAGCAGGGACTATAAGTACAGGCGCCAAGATACATGTTCAGGTTTAAATAAAATACAGCATCACAGGACTTAACTTGTGTCCAGTTTCTAGACCTCATGGTTCTCAGTGCTCTATGGGTTAATACATTTTTATCAATCCTGGGATGAACTTTGTGGGTAGTAAAATTATATTGCATTGTGTGTTGGATATAATCTTTCAAAATATACTACAGTTTTTATAATTTGTTTTGTCACCTATTCACTTTTTATGTATTATAATGCCAGAAGTTTCAAGGGAATTAGACCCAATCTTTCTTGACCTACAGAAACTGGTTGTGATGTTTTCAGGCTTAGTTCTGAGAACAATGGATGATTTAATTTTGATGCCTTTCAAAGACAGGTGCAGATTCATGGATCAGAAAATCCTTTGTCAAGACTTTGTTGCTAGGTTTTCTTTTAGAAAATAAGATCACAGTTTAAGAAAAGATACTAATTTTCAGACTTAGGTATGGAATACATGGAATTCATGCTAGTTTTTGTGAAACACTGTGAAATAATTCTTTCTCACACTTAATTGTAGAATTTTTTGGTTAAGTTCCACCTTTTCCATATGCCAGTATCAGTAAAGATTAAATATTACAGATGATCAATAATTAAATAGTATTAAAGGCAATAGTGTGTTTCTTTGTTTAGTTTTTAGTTAAATTAAAAATTTTACATAGCATAAGTTTATCTTATGCATCAAAATAGTTATTTTGTCTCAGTAATATATCATTCTTAAAAATATTTCTTATTTATTTAGAAAGTGGAAATGAGAGAACCATCATGAAAAAGATTTCAAAGAGAAAAGAAGATATTTTTAGAAAAGTAAGGTATTAATGGAGTTTATAAGGATTTTGATTATGCAGAATAGCTCAATTATAAATGTAGGATAATCTTGGAAAAAGTTATATATTTGGTTTTATATACAAATCATACAGTTCATATGTTAAAAAATAATGTGAGAATTTAAGGGTGATATACTGTTTGATCTGTTAATTATGTAATTAAGAGTATTAGAGGTGAATTACTTATATATTTGCTTATTTATTTGTTCCCTTATTTAAATATTCATTTATCTGTTCTCTCAGCCACCTACCCAGCAATCAGTTCCCTACTTTGCTAAAAAAAAAAGATGTTTTTCCTTTTTTTAGTCAGCAAGTGAAACATTTTTAGGACGGGTATCTACATGTCACCTGCAGTAATTCCAATTAAGATTCATATTTTACTCCTGCCTTCTAAATGGGGATGGGCAGTTATGAAAAGTATATCCAGCATATTGGATGATATTATTAGGAATTAAAGGAGACCTCTGTCACTCAGTGGCATTGATGTTCCATCACACCTTCAAGGTTTGCTGTCCCCTTGGTCAAGAATAAAAGTAGGTGTTTTTAATTTTGTTGAGGAAAATGCTGAAGGTTTATTAAGAACAGAACATCTTAATGTGTATTGACGTTATTCAGCAATTGTTAAGTGTGGTACAGAAACCACTGGTGGATTTTGGAGTTCTTTCGGAAAGTGTATCGACTAAACTTGTGTAACTATGGTCATGTCAGTACCCTCATGTCAATACCCTGCTTTAGCTCTTGACTCAAATTCATGTTTTTACTGTGATTATAAATCTGATGTGTGTCTGCTTGTGCCTCCCACTCCAGCTGCACACTGGTTTGGTTGGCATGTACAGTTGTTTAAAGAGTCTTTTGCTATTCTATTTTTTTAACTTAAAATGAAAACCAAACCTATCCATATTGTGCTGAAAAAGAGTTTAACATTGCTAGTATGGTTTCATTCTGGAATATTGAGGTTTAAAAAGTGGTGGAGGAAATAAAAGCTGATTTTAACATGTTGAGTTTTTGATAATGGTAGGATATTCAATTAGAAATACCATTAGGCAACTAGAAATATGGTATTCAGGAGAGCAGTCAAGGTTAGAGACACATTTAGGAAGTCATGGGAATATATACATTCTGCAAAGCCTTTGAATGTACCCACATTTAAGCTATTAAGAGAAGTGTGACCAACGAAGGCTACAAGGAGTAAGTGACCAGAGAGGTAGAATGATAGAGGACAAGGATCTGGAAAGCTTTTAGAAAGTTATCATATGCTACAGAGTACTCAGGTAATAGCTAACATTGATATGGTGTTGAGTTTCAAAGTATTTTTATGTGTTTGATCTCATTTGATCTTCCTAAAAGATACATGAAGTAGGCAATATATGAACACTAAGAACTAACTACTGGGTTTTGTCATTAAAATGTCCTTTTAAATATTACAGAGAGCAATTTCTTAATTTAAAAATCTCCTGTGTGTAAAGAGCTCATGCCTGCATGCTAAGTCACTTCAGTCATGTCTAGCTATTTGTGACGCTATGGACCATAACCCACCAGATTTCTCTTTCCATGGAGTTCTCCAGGCGAGGATACTGGAGTTGGTTGCCATGCCCTTCTCCAGAGGATCTTCCCAACTCAGTGATTGAACCTGTATCTCTTCCTTCTCCTGCATTGGCAGATGGATTCTTTACCATTAGCACCACTTGGGAAGCCATAAAGAGCTCCTACCAACTGATAAAAGAGTGAAATTTAAGAAAATAGGCAAAAGATATGAATTGTCATTTTAAAATTTGAGATAGCTCTTGAAGGGCTGCTGATGCTGCTAAGCCACTTTAGTCATGTCTGACTCTGTGCGACCCCATAGACAGCAGCCCACCAGGCTCCTCTGTCCCTAGGATTCTCCAGGCAAGAACACTGGAGTGGGTTGCCATTGCCTTCTTCATTCAAAGGACTGATGAACTTATGAAAAAATGATTCTGAACTCTCATGGGACAGTGATTTGATCTTTATAATTGTCATGATCCAAAGAAATGCATATTAGTTAGCTATTTAAAAGTACTCTATTGCTGTATTGCTATTTAGTTATACTTTAAGAAAGTGTCATGAGCTCTGTATTATGTTGGCTTCTTGATAGATTTGAATGTAGAAGAAAATCGAAGCATAATAGAAACTCTGAGAAGCAAAGTAAGAGAAAAGCTAAAAAATGCCAAGGTAATGTTCATTTTTTTGCTTTCTTATTTTCAAATTTACTGTTTAAATGCAGCATATATCATGGTGAACTTTTCTTTGTCAGAAAAAGAGCTAAAATTCAGTTTTAACATAACTCCTTAAATCCAAAAAGCTTTAGATTCTTTTCCCTGCTTTTTTTCCTTCAAACCTAAAGCCAAGAAAAATTAAGTGATTTACTTGTGGTCACTATATATGACATCTCAGGAGAGAACATGTGTATACTTTTTTTAAAAGAAAAACATTGAGAAGTCTTTGTTTTTATTCATTTTTGGCCAACGACTTATGAGCATGATTAAACCTATATCTGTTTTCCATACTCTTCATTTGCAGTGTGTTTCAGATTAATCAAGGTGAAAAATCATCAACTCAACTGCTCATTGATAATAAGATATATCAGTGGTCTAAGGTGAATAGCTCTTTTTTAACCTTTTAAAACAGCTTTATTGAGATGTACTTTACAGAGCAAAAATTCACCCATTTTAAGTGTACAATTCAGTGAATTTTAGTAAACTTACAGAATTATGCTGTCAACACTATAATGCAATCTTAGACCATTTTTGTGACTCTTGTGCCAGTTTTCAGTCACTCTCTATTTCTACTTGACGTTATTTTTTATCCTAAAAAATTATAATACAGTATTTTAGGTGATCCCTGACTTACAGATTTTGTTCTAAAATCCCATGTGTAATCATATATTTGAAACTTGAAATGACAAAACAACTCACATTTTGAAAGAACTGTGTTATTTAGAGTAAAGGCAAAGCAGCTTTAACAAAAAGATGCAAACTAAAATATCTTCTTTAAGGTAGAAGTTTTAGTCCTCTTTAATTTAACAGATAAGTAGTCCAGGCTGCTAGATGGAGAAGGACATGGCAACCCACTCTAGTATTCTTGCCTGGAGAATCCCATGGACAGAGGAGCCTGGCAGGCTGCAGTCCATAGGGTCACAAAGAGTCGGACAGAAGCGACTGAAGTTGGACTGAAGTGACTTGTATGTACACACACCAGGCTGCTAGGAGAGTTCTGCCTCTTCAACACTTGGTTTCCATCCCTGAGTCCAGTGGCAAAACTCCAGGGTTTTCATTTGCTGGCCAAAGGCAAGGCAGGAGGAAGAGAGCCATAGGATTGCAGATTGATCTCTTGCAGGACAAGACCTGCAAATTTCACACCTTATTTCCACTAAAAGAACATGGGTGCATTGTCTAGATATCTAGTTAAAAGATTCTATTATTAGAGATAGGAAAAAAGATCATCATGAACAACTAGTCATTTTGCCATAAGCAATGAGAGTATTAAACCCTACAAACTTTAAAATGCAATGATCATTTTTTGGGTTTTTACAAAATTCATGTGTCCTCTTTGTAGTGTCCTTGGATTCTTAGTACAAATTATTTTAATTAACTTTAAAAGTAAAAACAGACTAAAGAAAAGATGTTTGTATATATGTTATTCATTCAACAAATGAATAAAAGTGTGCCTAGATTGGGTATAATTTAACTATGAATAGTAAAAAAGAAAAAAAGAAGAAATTGGTCAAGATCGCTTCATTGAACATCAAGAAAAGAGGTGAAAAGGAAGAGAAATTGGCTTCTAAGAATTTCCATTACAAACTAAGAAATTGGCATAGCTGCTCAGGAAGTTGAGGATTTTAGCAAATGACTTTGTAAAGACAAAGGGAAGTAAAAGTATATACTGACAATTTATATATAAGTATTGTTGAAAGTTAATGGGCCAGCTAAGTTGTAGATACAAATAAGATATAAGAAAGCTTTAGTATTTTGCATATTTTAAAATTCTTTGGCTCCTAGGAACTAGCAGTTTGATTGATTGACTGATTGATAAACTGATTCTTCTCCCAAATCTCTCTAAAAACAATCCATTAAATGTATCTGAGAAAGAAGTGATAGGTGATTTACATTTAAAAGATTCCTTTATGGTATTGAAAAGTGAGAGTCTATTTATATTCATTTCAGCACTGAATACTGGCTTACTGTTGTTTAACCCACAGGCTGAAGTTCCACTGGATGAAGGTCTTTCATTTTTCGTTCTGAGTGGTGAAGAAGACTCAGCTAAAGGCCAATCTGCAGAGCAGGTTGGATTTGTTCCTCCTGAAAACATAGGCAGATTTAGTAGGATAGGGTTTATGAAAGAGATTTACTTGGTCACAAATAAAAAGCTGGGATTTAAGATGAGAGCTTGATATTACTCAGCTGTCAGGGCAGATCTCAGCTCTGAAGCCAGGTTTAAAGCCCTACCAGGGGTGCAGTGAAGGCAGCTTGGAAGGTACAAAGAGCTCCTCTTTGTGGTTGAAATCTTCAAAGAGATCCCCTATGTGAAGATACCTCAAATCTTGCTCAAGGTGTCAGGGTCATATCTTGTTTGACTTTTGAAAAAAATGCCACAAAAATTTCTGATTTTAAAATCTTTTTTGATTTCATGACAGAGATATATACAGAAAGTATGAGGATGCGATGACATGATATGAACCTAGGTGATACTTTACCGTGTTACTCAATTTTGTCAGAGTTGATCAAGGTCATGTACAGTTATCTATTCAAAGGAATTTTATGATTCTTTTTATTTAATTATTTATCCCTAAATGTATGTTTTTGAAAATTAAGGGATTTTTATTTATGTGACTCACATACTCTGTCTCCTTTCTTTCAATATATGTAGATTTTAAGTTAGACAACTAGAGTCATCTAAAATGGTGATTTTTGTGTGTGTGTGAAGAGACATAAAATTTCTGATATATAAAAGTGTATGTTTTTACATTTAGTAATATATCTACTTCAATATCTCCATTGTTTGAAACTTTTATATATATTTCGGAAATAATTGATCATCTGTCACAGACTTCTACTTGTATCTTTACTTTACTTGTTTTTCTTAAATAGCATCCAGAAAAGAGCATGACTGCTCTACGTTACCTTAGGTAGTACTGCTTTCTGAAAGGTGAAAAAGATGGGGCTAAAGATCACATGGCTTGATATCCCTAGACTTTGCCCTGTACTATGAATTCTCAACAATTGGACTATCATAGTCCAATATCTCAGAACATTTTGCCATAGGAGAGGAGAGACTTGTGGTTCTTTTTCAGTAGTATTTTGTTGAGAATTGCAATGAAGGGCTATAGGAAAATCATAGTTTCTGATATTAAGCCTTAAGTGAGTTCTTCAGTGTTCAGTGAAAGTTCATTGTAACATGGTTTCAGTTTGAACTTGAACCGGGTGGCATAGATCAGAAAGACTTGATGGCAGGATTTTAGTATATTTTATTTATCTGTGCATTAATCATTGGGAACAAGCATGTATACTTATTTTTCTTTTGGGGTTCAACAGAGATCAGTAAATGGTAGTTACCACAAACATTTTTCACTTGATGATGATTTACAGAACTTTTCTGAGGGCCAAGATGAAGATTTTGTGGAAGAAGTCATTTTCCCAGATTTACTTGAAGTAAAGGCTGCTGATTATAAAGATGACCAAGAACAAATAAAAAAACAACAGGCAAATATTTTTATTCCAAGTAGTTCTCCAGGTAAAGTTTTTTCATGATAAAATATCCAAGTCATTAATGAATCATAGTATAGGTTAATAGCTTCTTTGTATGGTGGATAGATTAAAAGTAATGATCTAAAATTATAGAAAGTTTTCTGTATTCTTTGTGCTTTCTCTGAGTTTAAGGGAATTGGTTAAAAGAGCTCATTCATTCTTGTGTGTGTCTGTGTCTGTGTCTGTTGTCTGTGTATTTGACCTTCTGGTAGACTTTCAGTTCAGTTGTGCAGTCATGTCTGACTCTTTGCGACCCCATGGACAGCAGCATGCCAGGCCTCCCTATCCATCACCAACTCCCGGAGTTTACTCAAACTCATGTCCATTGAGTCGGTGATGCCATCCAACCATCTCATCCTCTGTCGTCCCCTTCTCCTGTGCCTTCAATCTTTCTCAGCATCAGGGTCTTTTCAAATGAGTCAGCTCTTCCCATCAGGTGGCCAAAGTATTTCAGTCAGCTTCAACATCAGTCCTTCCAATGAACACTCAGGACTGATCTCTTTTAGGATGGACTGGTTGGATCTCCTTGCAGTCCAAGGGACTCTCAAGAGTCTTGTCAAACACCACAGTTCAAAAGCATCAATTCTTTGGCGCTCAGCTTTCTTTATAGTCCAACTCTCACATCCATACATGACTACTGGAAAAACCATAGCCTCAACTAGATGGACCTTTGTTGGCAAAGTAATGTCTCTGCTTTTTAATATGCTGTCTACGTTGGTCCTAACTTTCCTTAAAAGGAGGAAGCATCTTTTAATTTCATGGCTGCAGTCACCATCTGCAGTGATTTTGGAGCCCAAAAAAATAGTCAGCCACTGTTTCCACTGTTTCCCCATCTATCTGCCATGAAGTGATGGGACTGGATGCCNTCCATCACCTCTACTAGCTTTGTTCATAGTGATGCTTCCTAAGGCCCAGTTGACTTCATATTCCAGGATGTCTGGCTCTAGGTGAGTGATCACACCATCATGATTATCTGGGTCGTGAAGATCTTTTTTGTACAGTTCTTCTGTGTATTCTTTCCACCTCTTCTTAATATCTTCTGCTTCTTTTAGGTCCATACCATTTATGTCCTTTATCGAACCCATCTTTGCATGAAATGTTCCCTTAGTATCTCTAATTTTCTTGAAGAGATCTCTAGTCTTTCCCATTCTATTTTTTCCCTCTATTTCTTTGCATTGATTGCTGAGGAAGGCTCTCTTACCTCTCCTTGCTATTCTTTGGAACTCTGCATTCAAATGGGTATATCTTTCCTTTTCTCCTTTGCTTTTGGCTTCTCTTCTTTTCACAGCTATTTGTAAGGCCTCCTCAGACAGCCATTTTGCTTTTTTGTATTTCTATTTCTTGGGGATGGTCTTGATCCCTGTCTCCTATACAGTGTCACCAACCTCCGTCCAGAGTTCTTCAGGCACTCTATCAGATCTAGTCCCTTAAATCTGTTTCTCACTTCCACTGTATAATCATAAGGAATTTGCTTTAGGTCATACCTGAATGGTCTCATGGTTTCCCCACTTTCTTCCATTTCAATCTGAATTTGACAATAAGGAGTTCATGATCTGAGCCACAGTCAGCTCCTTGTCTTGTTTTTGCTGACTCTATAGAGCTTCTCCATCTTTGGCTGCAAAGAATATCATCAATCTGATTTCAGTGTTGACCATCTGGTGATGTCCATGTGTAGAGTCTTGTCTTGTGCTGTTGGAAGAGGGTGTTTTCTATGACCAGTGCATTCTCTTGGCAAAACCGTATTAGCCTTTGCCCTGCTTCATTCTATACCCCAAGGCCAAATTTCCCTGTTACTCCAGGTGTTTCTTGACTTCCTACTTTTTCATTCCAGTCCCCTATAATGACAAGGGCATCTTTTTTGGATGTTAGTTCTAAAAGGTCTTGTAGGTCTTCATAGAACTGTTCAACTTCAGCTTCTTCAGTGCTGCTGGTCAGGGCATAGACTTGGATTACTGTGATATTGAATGGATTGCCTTGGAAACTAATAGAGATCATTCTGTCATTTTTGAGACTGCATCCAAGTACTGCATTTCGAACGCTTGTTGACTATGATGGCTACTCCATTTCTTCTAAGGGATTCCTGCCCACAGTAGTAGATATAAGGGTAGACTTTAGTGGTAGAGTATATGATAGTCCTCTTTTACTTCTTGTTCAGTCAATCCAAGTTTACTGTTTTGGACTTAAAAGTAACATCTAGGTTTTGTTATTAAGTGATCAACCAGCTTAAACTGCCAGAAGATATGATGCCACGCATTTTAGAAGAAGAAGGATTCTATATTCAGAAAAAGCCAGAAATATATAAAAAGACCTGCAACAAAATGGAAAATCGCCTGCTTAAACTAGAAGAGGCAAGTTCACTACCTGATAAGCTAAATCACCACTGGAAGTATGCAATATTTGTTTTTAGTGTAATATTTAATTACTATATTCTTAAATATTTTTAATAGGGAAAGTGTTGGTTTGAAGAAAGTGGAGAAATAATGTCATTACCTTCACCTATTAGACGGTCATGGAATTTCAGACTAAACATAAGCAAGGAACCTTTAAATCCAGCCCTGAAGACCATGTATAGAAAGGTAACCAACAGTTTATTTGTGATTATGTTTAGAATTCTTATAATATAAATTATAACTTGTATATTTACTTGTATACTTATTTTGTTAATTCACCTTTTGAGGATATTAGTAAATCTAGTAAAGGCAAAGCTATGATGAAATATTAAATAGCCATTAAAATTTTGTTTTCAAGGAATATTTAATGATCTGGGGGAGAGCTCAGAATGTGAAGTTAAAAAAAAAAGCAGAATGTGAAATTTCATATGATCCTATCTTTGTAAAAATTGATAGTGAGCGAATGAATTTGTCAATGAATAATACAGACATATGTGTGTATATAGATAAAAAGTCTGGGAAACATATCAGAGTTAATAATTATCTTTGGATAGTAGGACATAAGCTTATTTTTATTTTCTTTCTTATATTCTCTTCTAGATTTCAGAAATGAATATATATTGTACTTATAATCAAAGAAGCAAATTTTATGTGTATTTCAGAGCACATTATGAAAATTAGCAGTTCATTAACCTAATGAAATATTTAGACAGAATTAATTAAAAACTGGGCATGAAAAAAATTTAAATAAGAATTATGTACAAAAACTTAATTGCTCGATCACTTGTCTTTGTTGTTGTTGTTCAGTCACATAATTGTATGACTCTTTGCGACCCCATGGACTTCAGCACACCAGGCTTCCCTGCTCTTAACTATCACCTGGAGTTCACTAAAACTCATATCCATTGAGTCGGTGATGCCATCCAACCATCTCATCCCCTGTTGTCCCACTTCTCCTCCTGCCTTCTATCTTTCCCAGCATCAGAATCTTATCCAGTGAGTTGGCTTTTCGCATCAGGTGGCCAAAGTATTGGAGCTTCAGCTTCAGCATCAGTCCTTCCAGTGAATATTCAGAACTGATCTCCTTTAGGATTGACTGGTTTGATCTCCTTGCTGTCCAAGGAACTCTCAAGAGTCTTCTCCAACACCACAGTTTAAAAGCATCAGTTCTTCGGCGCTCAGCTTTCTTTATAGTCCAACTCTCACATCCATACATGACTACTGGAAAAACCATAGCTTTGTCTAGATGGGCCTTTGTTGGCAAAGTAATGTCTCTGCTTTTTAATATGCTATCTAGGTTGGTCATAGCTTTTCTTGCAAGGAGCAAGCATCTTTTAATTTCATGGCTGCAGTCACCATCTGCAGTGATTTTGGAGCCC